AGAGATGTGTATAAGAGACAGGTTGTCGTTTATGTCATTAAATTGTCATATTAGCTCGCTTTTGATGAGACATAGAGCTAAATAGACGTGTTAATTTTTATTAATTTTTGTTAATTTTTTTTGTTAAGCTGACCAAATTACGCTATACTTGCTTATTATTAAATTTCTTGTCAATTTGATTCATGATATTACGACTCTAGCTTCAGTTTAAGATTGTGTTTTAAGATCAACAAATAATCGGCACGCACTTAGCATGAATTAGAAAATATATATTAAGTCACGTAAAAGTATTAGGCACTAAGATCTGCATTGATCAAATAGGCTTATTTTTATTAATTATTTTATTAATTAGGTATCGGTCAATTTTACTTATTACTATTAATTTTTTTTAGTTAAGTATGTCACTTTTGAAAGGTGAGGAATATGTGTAACAAAACATTATTTTTAAATTTTTTATTGATGAATTCTCTCTGCTGTTTTCATTTATTACCTTTTAAGTCATCTTTCATGAGGTAAGCATATTGCGGATGTATTCTAAAAAAAATCTCTACAGTGCACAGTGTTTTAAGCTTGTTTCATCATTAAATTGAAAATTAATTTAATAAATATGTAATATTATTTCAGCTTTAAAGTTATGATTGCATTTTTTAAAACCGACAGATTAGTTGCGCAGTTTACGCTGAAATTTAAAAAGATTTAAAACTTAAGAATATTATTAGGCAACAGTCATCTAGTCTCGACCGTAATTGGCTGTTTTCCTCTTTATTATTTGTTGTATGTATATCGGTTTTGTTTAAAAAAAGAATTGTCAAACGCTTAAACGATATTTTCCAATAATTGTTATTATTCATCTGCAATATCTAGTATAGAACCTGTTCACATCGTGCGCAGACTGACTGCTGCGTTACGCATTGACGTTTAATGTAAATGCAATGAGCATAAAGTTGACATCAAAATTCCACGATTGTCTGAAATTGAAATATTATCGGCGCGGTAATAGAATCGATACGTGCGATATGGCAACGCGTCAATAATTGAATCAAATTTATTGCTATTTGCGGATTGTGCGAAGTACAAATGGTAACGATAACGTCACGCACGGTGTTTCTTTCCCATTTTTATTCACACGAACTCTCGACGAGAGCACAATGCGGACAATGCTTTGGTGATTGTTAAATATGTCCGTTTATCATATGATATTACGAATAATCCAATTTTACGGGCGTACACCCAATATCTGATGACAAATATATTTTGATGTGGACTACATATCAAAAGACATCTGTCATTTGTTATTTATGCGTGCAGCCAAGAGCGCGTACTTATTGCATTTGCAATCAAAGCTGAAAAATTACAAACGTATCAAATGCCAAACCAACGTCTCTTGTTATGATTTTCAATAAATCCAGTTGTTCAATTATCGTTATTTTAATTATCGTTATTTGTATATTGTTTGTCAGGAAAGTTAATAATTTATTGAGATCAGAGAGACAGCCTTTTTTAAACAAATATTTTAAAATAATGTTTAATGTGCCGCCGTGTGTAAATAAGTATATAATATTGTGGAATACGGAAAGTTCTCTAGCCATTCTAGATTGCTTATTTCTGCAGTTTATTTTTCTTTTGGTTTGTTTATCGTGATTATCTTTTCTTACGTATAATTCCACAGGTGGAATAAGCGAAACTGAAGGACAGTACATAATGGGCATCTTCTTATCAATATACTTGCAGGTATAACGTTGTCCCGGTAGTTTACGGAGGCGCCAACTACAGTCAGTTCGCACCGCCGAATTCCTACGTGAATGCCTTGGACTTCGAGAGCCCGAAGGAGCTCGCCGCGTACTTGAAATATCTCTCGCAGGATCAGCAGCGCTATCAAAGCTTCCTACAATGGAAGAAGCACTATCGTGTCAATTACGGTACAAGGCGGGCCGTTTGTAACCTGTGCGAGGCGCTGCACAAGCAGAAAAAGCCGAAAATGTATTCGGATTTAGCGGATTGGTACGCCAAAGATAAATGTTCTATTCAGGCGCTTCTGGATAATGGCGTCGATAAATACGCGACGAAACATACGCTAATGAATCGCGGACAGAAGCAGAAACAGGATTACAAAAGCGGGACTTAAAAGCATTAATAATGCATTCCAATGAAATGAAAGAGGAAAGTATGCGTGGACTAAAATTAAACTTAAATGTCAGCTGTTAAATACCGACGTTGATTCTGGATATTTTTGAAAAATATATAGAGTGTGTAAATAGCAATCGCATGCATCGCATTTTGTTACTTTAACTTCTGCTAACTGCTGCGTTATTGATCGGAGTTCAATAGCGATATAAATACTTTTCGAATCCATCTTGTCTCTCCAAATTGGACAGGACTTCGCGAAAATGTATCATTAGATGATTCATCTTAGTTTCAGAAACTCTAATTTGAATACGTAACTGAGCCTCCATATGTGGAACGATAAGATATCCCTACGTCATCTGTTATCCAATTATGCATATTGAGCAATTTCTAAGTCTATAACGAAGTGAACGACGCTGCAGCTTCGACGTTTGACTTATACGTCGGTTGATGGGTCATTAGGCCGAGGATATGTAGCACATCGATATATTCACTACTCGCTTGATTAGTCGAGATCAAAGCGAGGCCAAGCTCCATCGCTCTAACACTGCTACACTCCGAGAGCCCGTGCAAGACAGATATGTGATTTACTGATTGCATCACATCCATGAAGGGAACCAGCTTTCGAAGATTGCGTATTATTGAAAATTCCAACGATAATTAAATAGACTGAACAAATATGAAGCACACATTTGTATAAAAGACTGACGTTAATCCGTCTCATCAAGAAACTGTTTGCCAGAAAAAAATGTCATGATATTATATTTAATATTTTTTTTATAATATTACTTCTATACATGGTTAATATATATATACAAGGTGTTTCTAATTGTTCTACTTTCCAATACACACACACACACACACACACACACACACGTACGTGCGCGCAACTTTCAAGCCTCATAATTCGGAAAATGCTTAATGAAAAATAACTTTATTTTGAAAAGCTTTGGATGTCAGCTACAAGAATATACAATGAAAAATGGAGGTTTCCATTTAAAAATTTTGAAATTATTTTTGTGTGATTTTGACAACGCTATCTAAGGTCACACTAATGTTGCTATAAAATGCGCAATTTAAAACCTTCCAACTTTTGTATAAATTTTTCCTGAAAATACTTTATTTTTAAGATAACCGACTGTATTAACTGAAATAAAATACCCTATATAAAGATAAGTAATATTTATAATCTTTGTCCTCCTGAGTGATTAGTGAAGAGTTGTAACAAATGTTGTAACAAATTAAAATAATAATAATAATAATAATTTTTGTCACCGTTATTTAATATAATCGTTGAATTCCATTCTCCTTTTGTGTTAAAGAAACATGTCCAGTAAGTATATAAAATAGCGCAAATGTAATAATAAAAAATAAGAGACCATTGTGTTCATGTATTTACACATACAAGTGAAACCAAATATACGTTAGTCTAATTAGTAGTAGCTGTTAACACATTTAACCGTTAATAACTGCTGATTATCAACAATTTTGTGTAGGCGTGTATGAATGTACGCGCAGGCTTATAAACATAAGTCTAAAGGCGCGTTCACACAGGATCATTTTGTGGCGCTAGAGAGAAGCATTGCGGATTCACACGGGTCACTTTGTGGCGCTATGTAAGCTATTTTGTGATGTCACAAAGAAACACTACGGACTCGTTCAAATGAACCCGCCACTTCGTGACGCCACTTAAAAATCTTTTTTTGGATCCGTAACGCTTCTCTATAACGCCACAAAGTGTACAAACGTCAAAACGCTCTTTTTGTAGCACCACAAAGTAGTTAGTGTGAACACATCCTTATGTTATGCATTTTTTGTGTATAGCATAATTTATTATTTAAGTATATTATATTTTTTCTCTTTTACAGTTTTTCCATATTTTTAATCAAATTTTAATTATATATATACATATGTTTTAAAAGATTAGCAAAGTGAAACTATTAGTATTGATAGTACAAAGAAAGAAAAAGAAAGAGAGAGAGAAATGCTTTGTTCCGATGCGATTTATAAAATTTAAAGAATAAGCTTAGAATAAGATATAAAAGAAACATAACGTAAATAGTTTTTAATTTTATATAACTATTAGAGTCTTGTATTTTCATACAAGCGCTTCCATTTCGCTTTTATAAAAAAAATTTTATTTATTTTATAAACAATATTCAAGATGAAGGTACACAAATTGTGCATAAAACCGCAAACTCTGTAACGTAAACAATGCAAGCTCTTCAATTGTTAATTTTTGCAAAGGCATATTTGCGAAAAGTTAAGGCAAATGGTAGATACGGAAAATTATACTCGTAACGACATCCATGTACATCTGTTATTATATAAATATAATATAACATTTACATCTATGAGTAGTAATACTTTTTTCCTCAAATTGACAAAGAAAATGTTTTAATTAGATAATTATATATTTGATACACATATTTTTGTAAACTAATATCATTGACCTTTTTTTCTTGTTGCCGCCCGATATTCTTCATTAATTATATTTTATTATAATCTAAACATAAAATTATATTATAATAAATACAAAAATATATTTTTTCTATTTCTGAGTTTTGTTACAATTATTATCCCATTGTTTACTTAAAAAAATCACAGTATTTTCTACAGTTAAAGAAAAATTATTTTCAATAATTTATTCCTTTGTCTGATTATTAATTTAATTTATTCGTAAATTATTTATGCGGATTTAAAAGTACTTGAGCCTATTTTAATCTAATAGCTGTCTTGATAAACAAATAAATATGTAAAATATCTTCTCATGTCAAATTATAAGATGTATTTAAATAAATAACGAAGAGTACTATATACAGGGTGTTCCGGCACGAAATCGACAAGCTTTGCCAGCTCGTTTGGATATTTATTCTAAGCAGAAGGGTTCATAAACACCATGAGTCGACTCGACTTCGAGCACTTACCAAGATACGAGCACTTTGTTGTACAAGACCGCATAATGAAAGCTCTCTGCGATTCCATTGGATTTCTTCCTGTGGGATTGTATGAAATCCCGAGTGTAGTTGCATGGAAAGTCAGAAACGCGGGAACAATTAGTACGAGCGTTAACAAAAGCTGCAGGTAACATTCATTATGACAGTACTGATGTTCATTGGATGCAATCACTGTAGCACAGCATGTTTACGGCACCATGATGCTGAACAATTTGAACAATACCTGTGAACGAGAGGACATTTCGGGCAGCACATAAACATTGGCCTTATATTGGGTCTCGATATATATCGATTGCCCAATATTCGTACATCGGCCTGACGTTTCGAAATAACAATGAATCGATGTTTGCGTCACGCTGATTTACCGATGGCCAATAGTTAGTAAATTGTTGGATTTTGCATTTAACCAACATTATATCAACATTGAAAAATGATCCGATCATATTTTCTAAAATAGGATGAAAATCTGTTATATATAGTTATATATATAATGCTCACGTTAGTTTATTTATTCATAAATTAATTTTTATACAGAATTTTGGAGCCAAATTTTGGAAACTCTATATTTCATCAAAAATAGATGCGTGAGACACCATTTCATCAGAATATATATGAGAAATCTTATAATGCTGCACCTTATAATCTGTTCTATGTGGTTATTTTTTTTTTAATTTACAAGGAATACAGAACGTTGATGGTCCATTTGATGGCGGTGTTGCTCAAAAGTGAATTATTTTAATAAAAATTATTATTAACTAGTTAATTCAACATTGGCTAAACGTCGTTAAACAAACGGTTAGTATTATGTCGTCAACCGATTAATAATGTGCAAAATAATTAAAAATACTGCAAGTTATTTTAGAAACAGTTAAAATTTTCAAAGAAACAACAATATCTTTTAATTATAGTACAAAAAATAATCTGTCTAATGATTTCTTATATTGTAGCATTAATAATGCCCAACATTGTTTCCCTAACCGATGCTTCTGATTAAAAGCCAACCAATGATTGATGGTCAACCAATATATGTCGCTTATAGGATTCTATTAAATGTTACTGTAATGATTGTAATAGTAACAGTAATAGTAATGTAATTTCACGTATTAATAAATCAAATGATTATTACATGGAGATCGGAGAGCTTTCATTATGGGGATCTCTTGCACGACAAAGTATCCATATCTTAAGAACGAAGCGACTGTGTGAATAGGAACTTTTTTGTTTAGAATGTCCATTCGAACATGCTGGAAAAATTTGTTGATTTCATAATAGAATACTCTGTATGTAATTAACTCAAAAGTTTTAGATTTTTTCGCATATCAACACTGTCATATAAAGTGTCGATTTCAGTACTTCAATTTTTTATTTTAGAAATAAATTTTGATCAATATTTCTTCATTTATTGATCCTAAATATCTTCATGATCATAAATATCTTGATTGTTTACTTGATTGACACTCTGTATGAAGGATGATGTGTACTCGGAAGAAAGAGAAACTTTGCTGAGAAATAACGAGATTAAACAAGCTCACTCTTGCCGTTCGAGTTTCTTTCGCCACTTAATGAAGAAAGCTTTTATTCCTATTAGTTCTTGTCTACATGTATGGCACCCAATTAAATTGCGATCTATTATAACCAATTTCATTCTTTTGGTTGTAGTTACTTTGACACTAAAGTCTCAACAATATTTTTCAATTGATGTAAAGCAAAGCTGTATAAAGCAAAATAGCCCATTTGCATTATTATCAAATTTGTTTACTGTAAACATTATCAAAATATATTTTGTAGAATTAAATAAAACTTATCGTAACAAAGAACGTATCTGTGTATTTTATTTCAAAACATCACTCTATTTTATTATTTTATATTTGTGTGTGTGTGTGTGTGTGTGTGTGTGTGTGTGTGTGTGTGTGTGT